TGTAACAAAACTGCTACTTATCCTGATGATGTGAATTGCTTAAGCAGACACTGTTTTTGTCTTCCATTTGCAAGTAAATGTGATTTTTAAAGTCGTGCAAAGTATCCCCACATTATAGTATTTACATATACAGAAAAAAATGCCAAATTTTTTGCATTTTTTAACATTTCAAAGCCTTGAAGCATCATTCTTTCACATGCAATGCTTTGTTGCATGACCAGTAAAGAAGAACAAGTACTATCAGTTGAAAAAAGGCTCCTCTGAACTCTTCAACATACAGTCTACATTTAGAACCATAAGATAAATTTCCTCTAGACATGATTGGACTTCTGAAAATTGTAGCCAATTAAATCAAAGATTCTTTATAAAATCAATTCAATTAGAATGTATGAAGTCAATTCAGGTTTGAAGGAAGTAACTTCTAAACAAATCCCAAGAAAGATAGAGAGCATGCACTGAGGAATGAAGTGATGTAGTAGTTGGTTTTGAAAATTCTCAAAAGCAAGAAAATATGCTTTAATAGGCAGAATATTGAAAATATGCTTTTACATTTGAAATATGCACATAAATGCATTTATAACTCTTGAATCATTTGGACTTCCGTTTTAATACTTATTTTAAGGAATATCAACCGAAATTCAAATATGCATTTGTATAAAATTTCAAGCTCTAGTATTAAACAGATATATAATAGTTCATTGTTCTTAGATCTAGTTAGTCATCAGAAGATATCATACAATACTAATTTTTTTAGTACTGATAAAACTATATATCTCAATTTTCAAATCAAACACTGAATTAATCAAGTTACAGAATCCCATACTTTGAAAGAAATTAAACTATTAAATTAATAATTTTTATAAATTTGGTAATAGAGATATATTTACCACAATCTGTTGAGAATTTTAATAATTAAATAATTTTAATTGATTCTTTGCTATAACTTTCTAGAATAACACTTAAACTTGAATCTGATGCAAACCAATCATGCCATTTAGATTCTAGAAACTTATATCTAAATTCTTAAATATTTAGATGTGATAATTATTTAACAATATAGTTAGTTGTTATGTTCAGCCCTAAATCTTCATGGCTAAAAAGTAACTGAACAGAAGTATGCTGTATCTAAACTATTATACATCTAGATGACATACAGATTCCAAAGTCTATGTAGTTTATGTCAGGCAATATGTTCATCAAGACCATTTCAGTATGTTAAATGAATGAACATTTTAATTGATTATACTTTTCTCTTTTTATTATTCAATATCTGTTGGCAAATTTTGTTTTCACTGTCTGCTGAGATTCATTAAATATGCTTATTATATAATATCTTTAGTCTGTTCTTATAAAATAGTGATAATGTTTTTCTATAATGACAGGATTGATTTCATCTAAAACAGCTTACAGTAATTAAATAGTTGGTAAGTTTACTAAATTTACTATGTAATTCAAAATCTATTTTTACAATTACAACATACAAAAGAAAAAAGATAAAAGTTCATCTAATTGTGATTTTTTTGTGAAATTTTTGATCCAAGAACAATTGTTATTTTGAAGAAATTTACACATAATTTAAAATTTATTATCTGTTATCTCTTAAATCATTATTAAAGAGAATGACATTTTTCTTCATTTACCATATATGATGCTATTTTTCAATGAATTCAGACATATTATTGTGAGAATTGAATTTTCTGATGTTTTTCATGGCTATTCTATACATTGATTACTCTGAAAAGTCAGAATCAGATTCATTGCACTTAACTAATATTTTCAGAAATTTTTTGTACTTGCTTCAGGTGAATCTCTCTAAATTAGAAGTGTCCATTGTTTGATTCAATTGTTTTTAAGTAGATATAATTTTTTTATTTATGATTTATTTTTAAAACAATAATGACATTAAACAATTTTAATGTCATTATTGTTTTAAAGTTTGGATCAAATGATGAGATGTTATAATCCTAAAAAATGTTTTATCCAGTAATTAACAAACTGCTTAAAAGTGATTAACATTGTGATGTGGATGGTAAAATTATATATATATATATATATATATAGATTTTGTTTAAAAAAAGTTGATTAAAGTTTAACCTCAAAGTTTTTAATGATGATAGAATACATAAAAATGATTAGAATTGGAATAAACATAGTTTAAACCAGTCATCATTGAAGATATAATATACTTTAACAGGATACAATATATTTTAAAAATGTAACATATGTTCAATGATGATTTTTTTCTTTTATTTAAGTTGTTCAAAAATTTCTGAAATAGAACTTAGTTCTAATCTTTCAAAAAATTATTATATATGATTCAATTGTAACATAGAGACTTAAATAAATAAGTAATTATAATCTGTTTAAAATTTCATCTTTCTCTATATTCAAGAACAATGATTATTGAAACTTTCTTGCTATGTACTGTTTGACAGCATCAATAATAATTATAAACGAATCAACAAATTTTATCATATAAAATGTTTTTCAAGACTAAGTTCAGTTCATTAACAGATTTTTAAACATTAATTGAACAAAAACAACATTTTCAAATATTTGAAGTTAACAGGATTCAAACTTACAAATGTAGTGAGCACATGACATTTAAATCTTTTAAACTGGAAAAGGCAAGGGTTTGAAATATAACATAGAACCTAAGTTAACTTAGGTTCTATGGTATTATTTCTAAGTTAACTTAGGTTCTTTAGGTTAGGGTTCTATGTTATATTTATTATAAAGAAAATTTGAAAACAGCAAAATTTTTATATAATAGGACTATCTGAAAAAATAAATTTAAAATATATAATAGCTTTTAAAGTAATTATTAAAAATTTTAGTATTCATATACAACTACATTTCAAAATAATGAAATATTGCTGTTTTTCAATTGACATCATAGCATTCATGTTAAAAATAATAATGTTACTTTATTTATTACATTGTTTCTCATTTTTATCATATTCTATACATTTCATCTCTATTTCTTCAAAAAATCAGCTCAGTATTGTGTATAGTTCTATTACAATTAAATTTTACTTTTTTACCTATTATTTCATTAGTAACCACATTTCAAAATCATGGAAATATGATTATATAATGGTATATAAAGTGAACTAAAAATTATTTTTATTTCACTTTATATACAACTTGTATATATTAATATATTGATGTCAGTTTTAATTAATATTATGTTGGACCTCCTTTGGCCTTAATTACTGCCTTTATTTGATGATGCATTGATTCAATTAGTTTCTCACACTGATCAGGGTTCCAAACAGATCACCATTTCTGTTAATTCATTTTTAGTTGATGGTTGAACTGTTTGCACCCTTTATTTGGTAACATTCCATGTTTTTTCAATTGGGTCAATGTTAGGGAATTGCATGCATGGCCAAGTCAAAACACTAATGTTTTGCTGCCAAAACTATTCTTTTACAGCAGGGGTCACCAAACTTTTTCACAGCGGACCAGATAACAGATAATGACAAGCGTGGGCTGCATAACCATTTTGTTCAATACTGAATACACAAAAAATAAAAAAATCCGACATATTTATTTACTAATACACAAACATAATCGCTGCAGCAAGCTCATAATCGCTTTTTTTAGAAACTTCATTGCAGGTACTTACACAAAAAGCACTCCAATATCCAAAAAACACAAAAAGTCAAATTTTTTATTTCATTGATTTTTCTAAAAATTATATTACTGTCAAATGCAAAAATCAGATTGGACCAATTTTGGCATTTTTACTTACACTTATTTTAATTTTTTATACATAGTAAGTTTATTTACAATCTATGATATTTCCATATAATATAAATAATTATATTTTAGCTCATTTGTGGCAGAGTGTGGCAATGGGCTGGACAAACTGACAAAGGCCATAGTTTGGTGAACCTTGCTTTACAGCATTGAAGTATGAGCTGGACAAAGTTTTGTTGAAATATGAATTCATCACCACCAAAAAGATCTTTTACTGATGATATAAGAAAATATACATCAGAATTGCCAGTTGTGTTTAAAAACAAAGGCTACTATTGCCTATGCAATGAAGCATACCCATGCCATTACAACTTTTGGATATTTAATAATATTTTAAACAGTTTGGATCATTGATTTCTCTTTCATGCCAAAATTGGGGTTCCTTGTCATCTAACATAACACAAAATTTTGATTCATCTGAAACTAATACTTTTTCCAGTCATCTACAGTCCTACGCTCTCTCCAGAATGACCTTTTCCTCCATTGTGATTTATTTAAATGAGGCTTCACCAATTGGTATGAGATTGGAATCCCATTTCTCTCAATCTTCACCATGCTGTGGATCTAGATGACTTGATTCCCTATCATTCTGTAATTTTGTTAGTTTTCCAACATTTTAAAATCAATTCTTAATGGCCCACCTTCTGTAACATTTTATCATTTTGTTGAGTTGTGATGTGTTTTAGTCCACAGTTTTATCTTTTACTTATCAAGTTATCTTCATAGCATCTCATTACTTTAGAAACAGTTTCTTGACTAATCTGAAATATTCTGGCTATTTCATTTTGGGTTTTTCTTGTCATCCCAACTTTTTGTTTAACATTATTAGACAAGTCGTGTGTCAGACATTTTGTAACAGCAAGGAATGTGCAAATTAGTGTAAATAAAGTTATTTATATTTATATATTAAAAAACATGAATTATTATTATATTGATGTTTGTTACTAATAATCCATTATTTTAAAACAAGTAAGAAAGTAAAATTTAATTGTAAAGGAACTATACATAATACTGAGCTGATTTTTGGAAGAAACAGAGATGAAACATGATAAATAGTGTAATAAATAAAGTATCACATTCTCTCATTTGTAATATTATTATTTTTAACATAAATGCTATGATATCAATTGAAAAACAGAAATTTTCCATTATTTTGGAATGTAGTTGTACTTAATTTTTTAATGTTTAATATAATATTTATTCATTAAATGGTATATTTTAATATTTCATTGTAGGAAAGAGAGATGATTTTACAAGAAGAAATAATGAATTTAAGGCAGCAATTAAATCAACAAAATAATTCATTGGAGGAATACCATTCACAAATGAAACAATTACAAGTGAGTTATTTATTTATTTATTTGATAAATATATAAGAATTCTAAAATATTTGTTTTGGAATTTATAATTATGCACTTTAATTAATTACATAATTATTGTTATCAATTTTTGAAATGTAAGATTGATTCTTCAAGTCATAATACTAGATTTTGAAATCGAAATATTATCATCATCAATTCAATTCAATTATCTTTATTATACAAACATAATGAATGAATAATATGAAATTTAGAAGATAGATTTTCTAGAATATTGGAAATTTTGCAGTTTTGCAAAAGATAACATTTCCACCAGATAAAGATTTGTATTACCATTTGCAACTGTAGATGTTTTGTAGATGCAAATGATATTAAAGATGGAACCAGCATGGTATAAAATAAGCATGCTATGTTTCTCAGACAGTAGATATTAAGAATTTCTGTATATATCTTTACTAGATAATGCTTTCTTGTTAGTTAGTCTCTCAATTTAATAGCTACACTAGCAATGCAAATGCTATTACAGTAGATCCCCCTATAAGACGGTAGATACGTTCCGTTCTTTATGAATCAATTTTGTAGGAATCATAGTTTACGGACTACGGCTGTTTGAAAGGTTTTCTTTCATAAAATTAATCGATTCTAGACTAATTCGACTCAACATTTCCAAAATACGTATATTTTTTTGAAAATAATCCGTATAAACTACGTTATAAACAAAAAATTGTAGGATTGCTTACCGAGTGTGTACCGTTCGACTACGCCCGTTGCTAAAGCTTGGTTTCGTCGCGGAACAGCGCATCAAACCGCGGCCGCGATTTCTGATATTATTTTTCTGCGAAAACTTCGTTGACCTTTGGAGACATCCTTAATATAAATAATTTTTATGGCCGTTAAATAAGAAATGTTTCTTTCACAAGAAATGTATAAAATTACAGTACTGGACAGACGATAGGTCGCCTAACTCGCCGTAGCGTGACGCTAGACGGCGAAAAATATATATTTAATTATAATAAAGTTACAATAAATTAAGTTAATATATAATTATATATACAGTACCTAATTTATATATAATTAATATATAATTATATGTACAGTACCTAATTTATATATAATTATATGAACAGACGATACTAAACTCAATTTATTCGCCTAAACGTCCGTAGCGTGGCGCTACGGACGGCGGGTAAGTAGTTCGGCTGCCCGATGACGTTTTACGTATTATAGGAGTTATTTTTACCGTTGTTTACGGATAATGCCACAATTTTTATAGGAATCATAACTATAGGAAACGGTTTTATAGGGGGATCTACTGTACTGCCACAATTTTTATAGGAATCATAACTATAGGAAACGGTTTTATAGGGGGATCTACTGTATTTAGGAATACCCACCAATACAAAAATGTTATTTTCTCCCTAAGCCCTTTTCTTATTTCACTTTAACTTGCCAACATATGCAAGGAAGATGCATCTGCATACTCCTGCCTTTTCCATTTAAATGAGAGTTTTTCAAAAATTATATTTTTTTGTCTTTTGCATCTTCTGCAGAACTAAATACTGCTATTCATATTCATTCATTATATTCTGTTCCAGATAGTATTTGATTATAATCATGTGTTTAGGCCATATATTTTTATTGAGTTGAATGTAATAATCCTATTTGAAATTTAAACAGCTAATATAAAATCTTGAGAAGTTCATTTTTATTTGTGTCAAATTCAATAGCTAAATTTACTAGTTATGTGAAATAAATTATTAAGAACATTTGATGCTACTCTAAAGTTAAAATTAAATTTATACAAAAAAATTTAACATTTGATGACAATGATTCATTACATTTAGCACATTATTCTCATAAGTAAAAATGTAGTGAAATTTATTAAAAATAAAATAGTTTAAAAATGAAAAATTGATTATGTAATCAAAAACCAAACATCATAAATTAATAAGAGATTTAAAATAAAAATAAAACAAATATACTCTAATTCTTTTTCTTCTTAGAAATGAATGAATTCTTCCAAAAATGTGCATGTATATTGTTAATACCAGGAATATTTTAAAAAATGCTTTAATGATATTTTAAGAAATTAAACAAAACTATTAAAAAGTTTCATTAAAAATACAATAAGTAAAACCTTGCTTTATGGCCACCTATAATATTCCCCTGTAAAACTGCATAAGTTTAATATAAATCAAACTCCAACTTGATGGCCACTGGCCACCTTGCTTAAGTGACCAAGATCGGAGTGTCCTAAAATGATATTTATCTCCATTATGAAAATCCCATGTTCCAAATTTCACTCTATTGTTTAAAGCACTTTACAATGCTATATTTTTTGGAATGGTTTGCCAAGATCTGCATTTAAACATTTAACAGGATTCAGTACAGTACAGTACTCTAATTACAGTTCTGTACATGAATTTTTTCACAACCTCATTTAGGTGACCACTTCACTTATCTGGACAGAAATTATATAACCCAAAGGTGGCCACAAAAGTGAAGTTTTGCCATATTTACTTTCATTTATTTGAACATTTTTAATTTAAAAATTAATCAATCAAAAACATTGTAAAGTTGTAATGTTTTCTACATTTTGTTTGGAAAACATACAAATTATATACAGTCGATCCCCNCTTAGTGAAATCCGACGAGAGCGCACTACATGACCTCACTCATAGGCCGATTGCCAACGACTGACGCTTCCTGCAGGCGGGAAAAAATTCAGGGTTGTGCATGACTGTCCCCTCCACAACTTTACCGAAGGAGGCCTGTCGCGCATCATTGGTTTACGCGGAAAAAAAAAGGTCCGATACTTTTTGAACAGACCTTGTATATTGTAGAACATATATAAGTACAACTTTTAAAGAATATGTATGTTCTACAATATGACATTGCAGTAACTGTTTTCTCAATCCATTTGTTTCCAATATTCTTCTAATTTTTTTAATGGCTGTATTTTAAAATCTTTCCAATGTTACCCATTATACACCGTGGTTTTAGAAGACAGAACCATAGTATTGCACTGAAGAGGGACTTAACATTTATATAAGTCCGAAATGCATACGTGGAAACAATAAGAGAAGTGTCTAACCTGAAAGCTGTAATGATAGTCTACCGAACTTAATGTTGGATTAAAGAGACATACATACATAGATCATAATAACAGCTACCAAAAGTGATATTTAGAAAATAAATGTGTAATAGGAAAAAAACAAAAGTATAATGTACACTATTAATGTACAGTATCTGTAGATAGTAGTGACGGTAATATCTCAATGTATTTTGTATTTTTTAAAATTCAAAACATATGCATTACAGACAGGTACAACTTTTACAGTAATTTTAAGCCTATATTTATAATTATAAATTATTACAAACAACAAATTATGTGAAACATTTAAATATTAATTATATATGTATATAGTGTATATATAATGTGTTGTCGGAGAGTTTGCAAATGATGTATGTTATATTTACAGAGATGTTATAATGATAAACACAATGTTAGATGGCATTTAAACATGGATTCTGTTGGAGATATTGATTATGTTGTCATGTTAACAATAAATATAAAATAACTAAAAGCAAGATTGCAAACATACGTACCAAAGCAAAAATAATATAGCCAACAAACACCAAGTCCATTCTTATGAGGGCATGCATACCAATGACAATGCATCAGCTTCAATAAAGGATTGAATATGACTCATTCTGCAATTTTATAAAATAAACTTCCAATGTAAAATTTTTATTGTGATTATACTGGTATGTAATGCATAAAGTTATAATGGATATATAATCATCACTAAACCCGATGTAATATAGCTAATCACCAAACATATGCCGTAAATCCATCGGGCTAGTTTTAAGGCTAATTACTAAATAAATTACATAATTAATTTGGCACTAGAGGTAAGCGTTAGGCGCCATCTCTTATTAATATTAATAATTATAAATAAATTAATTAATTTAAATAATTTAGAACCGCTGGGAGAAAAAATCGGCCCGGAGCGGGACTCGAACCCACAACTCCTGCTTACCGTGCAGATGCGTTGCCAGTTACGCTATCCGGACCTCCGATCCGATCTCCTCTTCCAGCGTATAACTATGTAACCATCGACGGTTATTACAATGC